GCCGCCGCCTGCCGCTCGCACTGGGCACGCCGGGGCTCTGCCAACTTGGGCCTGTGGCCGCGGCCGGGCCGCGCTCAAACTCCTCCCCCGCCGTCACGCACTGGCTTCTGGGAGGTGGCGGCCGCGTCGCGAGGGACCGGTCGCCGCTGGCCGGCGCCCAAGTTTGGAGAGGCCCCAGGATGAGAAACAGAGGCGCTGGGCCTTGTTCGCGCCCCTGGCTGCGGGGTTCAGTTGTCAAGACTTTGCTGCTCGATCGCTTGCTCGGCGAAGCCGACTCTCAGCCCCGCCGCCGCCCCCGCCCCCGGTCCTCAGCCCGCGCAGCTTCCGCCCGGCCCCCGGTTACGGCCCCGGGTTCCCATCAGCGACGCTCATCTCGCTGTGACAGTTACCCGTGTGCCACCTTGCGCCGCTCGTCCCCGCCCCTCCCCCAGCGAGCCCCCGGGGCGTTTCGCGGGTGTGGTCAGTGCACCTGCTAGGAACTGGCGGTGGCTGGTAGTTACTGAACGAATGAGCTGGCCGGCGGCGGGCATCCCATTGTAACGGGGGGGCCACTGTCCTTGCTTGCCCCCCCTTCCCTTTCAGGGACTGCACCCCCCGGCCCTCAAGAAGCCAAACGTGAACATCGCAGAACAGCGACCCGACAGTGCTGCTCGCCAGCCGATTATAAGGAAACAATTTAACACAAGTGTCCATCGCTCATCTCTTTCTTCCCTTCAAGAAAAATTTTAAGATGTCGGAATATATCCGGGTAACGGAAGATGAGAATGACGAACCCATTGAAATACCATCGGAAGATGATGGGACAGTGCTGCTGTCCACGGTGACAGCCCAGTTCCCGGGGGCCTGCGGGCTGCGCTACAGGAATCCAGTGTCGCAGTGTATGAGAGGAGTCCGGCTGGTGGAAGGAATTCTGCACGCTCCTGATGCTGGCTGGGGGAATCTGGTGTATGTTGTCAACTATCCCAAAGGTTTGTTGCCACTTGGTTTTGCAGCAATGTGCTACTGGCTTGTGCCTCGTTCTTGGTCACAGGTCTCAGGTCTCGGCTTATTTACTTATGCACAGAGAGCTGGGGTGCAGGCCAGAGGTGGGGGAGGGGTGTAGGATCTTTTCCCAGAGAGAGTGGGGAGCAGAGCAGGCGGAACCACTGCAATTCACAGCTGAGGGAGCAGCTGCTGGGACAGGAGAGCCCGGCTGCGCCCTGGGGTCACTCCCTGGCTGGCATTCCCTGAGACCTAGCCCCTTGCTCCAAGAGGGCCCTGGAAGTTTTTGTTTGTTTTTTAAGCTTTACCCTTAACACTAATGTGGAAGGTGATTAACTTAAATTGGTGAAAATTACAGAACTTTTTTAAAAAGAAAACAAGGTCATCTGAGCAAACATTGTCAAGTTGGTGCCAAATTGAAGGAATAATTAAAGCTGCTTTGTAAATATTTTCCTACAGTGCCCTAGGATTTTGATTTGGTCTTTGAAGACTTACCTCCTCCTGACTCTTTCCCCATTAGTGATCATCACTGCAGTTGTGGTGGCCCAGATCTTGAATGAGCACAGTCCTGCTTACTACGCTGGGCACTGGCCTTAATCCTCTGGCATTGATATTCTAAACCTAGGAGAGGGAAAGGTGAAGACTGAGAGGGTTCCCAGCAGGGAGGTTGCTGGCGAGTTACAACTCTGATGATTTTATGATAAATTTTATTCACTTCATTTCAGGGTCTTTTAGCGTGTTGTTAATTGGTTGTCAAATTTAAAATGTCACTTAGTGATACATAGATGTAGATTTGTAAGTTGTGACAAGTGTAACAACCTGGTGGAAGATAAGATTATGAGGGATGGTGGCGCAGGGGTTACAGCACTGCAGGCGGGCCCCCTGCAGCGTGAGTTCCATCCCCGGCCAGGGAGTGACCCACAGGGCGCAGCAGCCCTCTCCTAGCCCGCCCACTGCTCCCTTCAGCAGTGTGTTTCAGTGGATCTGCCTGTTCTACTCCCCAGTGTGTCTGATGAATCCTCTCACTCCCTGTACCTCTGGCCTATACCTCAGTTCTTGGGTGCATAAATAAATAAATTAAAAAGATTATGGGGGAGTGTGCGTTGAACAGAGTATTTGGGAAATCTCTGTCCTCAGTTTTGTTGTGAACCCAAAACTACTCATAAGATGAAGTAAAAATGTTAATGGCATTTAGTTCCTCTCTCCCAAACTTTGGTTTTTAAAATTAACTTGAGATTTTCTTTTTACAAAACTAATAGGCACTGTTGAAAGTTTAGGGGAGAGAGGGGAATTTGAAATCACCCTTAAATGTTCAGCTGTAGATAAAAATTGCCAACTTTATAGTATTACACATGTTAAATTGTAGGTGTTAACTCAGTATGTTTAATAGACTCGTAAATAGTACCCACGTTTTTCTGACATGTTTTTTCCTACTTAATGTATTTTAAAGTCAAAGTGAAATAGAGTTTTGTTTTGATGTCTTTTGAGGGGAGAACATAGTTGTCAAAAATGAGGTGCACTCCCTGGACTCTGGCTGGGTAAGCACTCCCGGCCGTTCATTCAGCCCGTTCTGCCCTCGACAGCTAACATTGATTGCTCTTCGTAAAAGTTTTCAGTTTCTTGTTGAAAACAGAATCTTCGTTTCTCAATTCTGTTGACAGGCATAGTGTGTTTTAAGAAGTGTTGAATAAAGCTTTTTAAAAGGTGTCTTCTTGTTTGTTTAGATAATAAAAGAAAAATGGATGAAACGGATGCTTCCTCAGCAGTGAAAGTGAAGAGAGCAGTGCAGAAAACGTCTGACTTGATAGTCCTGGGTCTTCCATGGAAAACGACGGAGCAGGATCTGAAAGAGTATTTCAGCACCTTTGGAGAAGTTCTTATGGTTCAGGTGAACTTTGATTTCACTTTACCTGTGAAGAAGCACCTAGAGTTTCTGTTGTCAGTGACGCTGTCAGCAGAGAGTGTCATTAATGTTTTATGACGTGCTCACAGGGTGCTGACAGAAATTAGGCTTCTACTGTTTCACTTTGTGCACGCGCTGCATATCTTTATCTTTGATATTGTGGTGGCACGTTAGCTTTTTTCTTTCTAACGTGTTAATGGGAGAGTTTCCCATTGAGCTCATACGCTTTAGCTCTAACTTAGCTTTGCCTTCATTCTAAAATACTTCGCTAAAATTCTGTCCTGGGAGTTTAACTTACTGACCTAATCCCCACATGAAACCCGCTTTTGCTTTTATCTCAAAAATGACTTGGTTAAGTTTTAATTAAGCCACTGCCTCCACTTGAAACCTTGCACATTGACAAGGAACTCTGATTTGGTTGTGTGTGGTTTTGATACATTTAAGTGATCTTTTCTAGGTCAAGAAAGATATTAAAACTGGTCATTCAAAAGGGTTTGGCTTTGTTCGTTTTACGGAATACGAAACCCAGGTGAAAGTAATGTCACAGCGACATATGATAGACGGACGATGGTGTGACTGTAAGCTTCCAAATTCTAAGGTACTTTGCTTTGGTAATTTCTGCAAACTGCCTCCTTAGAAAGCACCATAAAAGAAACCAATAAACATTTTTGCAAAAGATAGTTGCAGATGTGTTTGAAAAAACCTAAGGACCTTCCAGTTTGGGGAATGTGGACTGTTTTGGCATGTGGAATGTTGTGCTGGCTTGAAATTTTTTGTTTATTACCTCTCCGCAGTAGAACTTGATTCATTTTATTCTTCCTCTTGCTACTTGTAGTGAGTTAACTATTTCTTCCTAGACAGTTGTATGTTAAAAAACAAAGCCTGTCAGAATACACTGCTCTTGTTACAAAGCCTCACTTGTTCCAAGCAAACTTAAATGAGCCTTGCTCATCTGGAATGGTATTGTCTTCGCTAGGACATTTGTCAGTTGTCGATTTTCCTGAGTCCTCGAAATTTTTAAATGTTGTTCTCCATCGGGCATGTGAGGGAAGTGCTAATGCAGAGTAACTCAGTGAGAACATGCCTGCTGTTTGGCATTTGATATAAAAGGCAGATAGATTCTGTGCTGACCTTGACATTCATGTTCTTTTCATTGCTCATGAAATTTTTCTGACGTTCTTCCTGTTGGTTTGTTCAGCAAAGCCCAGACGAGCCTTTGAGGAGCAGAAAAGTGTTTGTGGGCCGCTGCACAGAGGACATGACCGCTGACGAGCTGCGGCAGTTCTTCTGCCAGTACGGAGAAGTGGTCGATGTCTTCATCCCCAAACCATTCAGGGCGTTCGCCTTCGTCACCTTCGCAGACGATCAGGTATTTGTCTCTGAGAATTTTTAGGCAATAGCTGCTGAGCCTCTCCCAGGCAGCTGATGCCATCCTTAGCGAAGCCCTCTGGCCTCACACACCGGGAGGCGTGTGGACGTAGATAACGTGTGACACAGACTGTAGATACTCGCTTGTATCTGCTGTGCAGCTGGGAGGCTTAGCTCTCTTTGAAAAGTGAACTGAAAGGTCCTGCTACTCTTACCAAAGCGAAGGCTGTTTCAAGGGTTTAAATGCAATGAGCGTTTGTTGCTTTCTTCCCTCCAGCTTAGAGAATGGCATGAAATCTAAGTTGTATTGCTGCGTTGATGTGTGTGTCAGAGGTTTAATCTCCTTTATGTACATCCTTTATTTCTTATAGGTTGCCCAGTCTCTTTGTGGAGAGGACTTGATCATTAAAGGAATCAGCGTACATATATCCAATGCTGAACCTAAGCACAATAGCAATAGACAGTTAGAAAGAAGCGGAAGATTTGGTGGTAATCCAGGTGGCTTTGGGAATCAGGGTGGATTCGGGAACAGCCGAGGGGGTGGAGCGGGCTTGGGAAACAACCAAGGAAGCAATATGGGCGGAGGGATGAACTTCGGCGCTTTCAGCATTAACCCGGCTATGATGGCTGCGGCGCAGGCAGCCCTGCAGAGCAGCTGGGGCATGATGGGCATGCTGGCCAGCCAGCAGAACCAGTCGGGCCCGTCCGGCAATAGCCAAAGCCAGGGCAGCATGCAGCGGGAGCCAAACCAGGCCTTTGGCTCCGGAAATAACTCTTACGGTGGCTCTAATTCAGGCGCAGCCGTAGGCTGGGGGTCAGCGTCAAACGCGGGGTCGGGCAGCGGCTTCAATGGAGGCTTTGGCTCGAGCATGGATTCCAAGTCCTCCGGCTGGGGCATGTAGACAGTGGGTACGGTCGGTGTGGGCTGGCAGGAATTCAGATTTTTTAAACTCATGGTAAGTATATTGTAAAATATGTACTAAGAATTTTCAAGATTGGTTTGTTCAGTGTGGAGTATATTCAGCAGTATTTTTGACATTTTCTTTAGAAAAAGAGGAAGAGTTAAAGGAATTTTATAAGTTTTGTTACATAAAGGGTTGAAATACTGAGTGAAAGTGAACTGCTCTTGCCTGACGGGTAAACCAACACACTACAATTGCTATCAGAAGGTTTCTCCTGTAATATTTTATCCCTGGACTTGTCAAGTGAATTCTTTGCATGTTCAAAATGGAAACCATTGATTAGAACTACATTTTCTCCTTGTTTTTAATTTGAGCCCCCACCATACGGATTTTTTCCTTAGGGAAATCTCCCTTTTGGAGATCATGGTCTCCTGATGTTCGGTTCTTTGTTTTTTTTGTTTTGTTTTCTTTTTTAACACTTGTCTCCCTTCATATACAAAAGTACAATATGAAGCCTTCATTTAATCTCTGCAGTTCATCTCATTTCAAATGTTTATGGAAGAAGCACTTCATTGAAAGTAGTGCTGTAAATACTCTGCCATAGGAACACTTCTGTCTACATGCTTTCTCATCCAAGAACTCGCCATCGCGCTGCGTCTTTGACGGTGGGTGCCCCATTTTTATCCGCTACTCTTTATTTCATGGAGTCGTATCAACGCTGTGAACGCAAGGCTGTGATATGGAACCAGAAGGCTGTTTGAACTTTTGAAACCTTGTGTGGGATTGATGGTGGTGCCGAGGCATGAAAGGCTGGTATGAGCGAGAAAAGGAGAGAGCGCGTGCAGAGACTTGGTGGTGCATAATGGATATTTTTTAACTTGGGCGAGATGTGTCTCTCAATCCTGTGGCTTTGGTGAGAGCGTGTGCAGAGAGCATTGATAGCAAATAATGTACGAATGTTTTTTGCATTCAAAGGACATCCACATCTGTTGGAAGACATTAAGTGAGTTTTGTTCTTAGGTAACCCACGTTAGCTGAATGTGTTAAGTGAAATGATACTTGTACTTCCCTGCCCCTTGTCAACTGCTGTGAATGCTGTGGTGCGTGTTCTCCTCTGTCACTGACCTGTAAGTGTGGCGATGTGAACTGAAGCTGATGAGCTGAGAACATGGACTGAGCTTGTGGTGTGCTTTGCAGGAGTACTTGGAAGCAGAGTTCACCAGTGAGCTCCGGGTGTCTCAAAGAAGGGTGGAAGTTCTAATGTCTGTTAGCTCCCATAGAATGCTGTTTGCTGCAGTTCTGTGTCCTGTGCTTGGATGCTTTTTATAAGAGTTGTCAATGTTGGAAATTCTTAAATAAAACTGATTTAAATAATATGTGTCTTTGTTTTGCAGCCCTGAATGCAAAGAATTCATAGCAGTTAATTCCCCTTTTTTGACCCTTTTGAGATGGAACTTTCATAAAGTTTCTTGGCAGTAGTTTATTTTGCTTCAAATAAACTTATTTGAAAAGTTGTCTCAAGTCAAATGGATTCATCACCTGTCATGCATTGACACCTGATACCCAGACTTAATTGCTATTTGTTCTTGCATTGTCCAAAGTGAAAAAAAAAATTTTTTTTAATCTAGTTTTTCATGAGTCTGGGTGACCGCACCTAAAATGGTAAGCCACAGCGCCCTCAGCCTTTTCTCAGCGCCTCTGCGCATTTAGCTGATGTTCTGTTCCCTTGGCCTGTGTAGATCTCTGTTGGGAAGTCATGCTTTCTAAAAATACTACTGGAGTGGGCAAAACGATGTTAATTATCTTCAAATGCTTTGTAGCAAAGCATATCAACTGAAAAGGGAAGATCTGCGTCTTCTTAGTTTGGGGTTTGAAAAGTGGAATTAATTGCAATAGGGATAAAGTGGAAGAAACCACAAATTTTCTTGTGCCTGAAATCCATTAAGAAGCCTGAGAGCTTTAAGCACTAGCGGGGTGGGTGGTCTGTCTGGACGTGTTAAGTGAAATGGGCCTTGTCCTCCACGGCAGGGCTGGAGTCATGTCGACAGTCGTTTACAAAACTCAGATGAGACACTCACCATGCGCTGTTAAATATGTAATAGCAATAATACTGGTGCTGTTGTGCTTTCATGTAACAGTGGAGCTCATTTTCTAATTGGAAGAATGTAACCGTTCTGTGTTGATGGTTTCCCTGATGCCCTCATCTAGTTAGATTACGGTAAATAGGCTGGTCATTTTGCAAGTCGCTGTCATAAACATCTGTAAATGATGTCTTCCTGAGACTTGTGATCGCCACCTTGTCTCGTTACTCAGTTTCCTCTGTAAAGGATCTTGCGTTGTTTTAATTTTTTTCTGCATCAGAATTGCATGATTTCCAAACCCTGTACCATCTGAATTTTGCATTTTAGCACTTGCACTATTACTCAGCAGCAGTAACATGGTAACACTTAAAATGGTATTCGGGGACCTCCCAAGACTAAACTGACCAGCCTGCAAGGAGCCCAAGGGTAAGTTAACTTGTCGATGGCATGGTTTTACTCCCTTTTACACTTGTGTAAATTTAGTTATTGGTCACAGAAGGCTTTCATTGTTGAGTAGCCTCCTAGTAACATGTTGACGGTACTACACCATTGTGGGTATCTAATTTTACCTTAAAAAAAAATAACTGAAATTTAGAAGTAAACTATTTGGCAAATATTTGTTTTACAGTCTATTTGGTCATCCTAATGCATTCATTCTAAAAAATTTTTTTGAACCAATTGAATAAAATTTTGTTGCCACCACAGTTTAGTGTCTGGAGTCTTACTGGAAAAATTTCTTTTTCATATGTGACAGAATTACTGGAACGTTAGCTTTAAAAAGTCTCTCAGGAAATTGTATGTTCAAAAGAAATTAGGCCAAAACTCACAATGAATTTTTACACAGAATGGTGACTGACTACAGTGAAACTTGGTTAAATGTTAATGATTGAAAGTGTTAAGGGAGGAATCCTCAACTAGAACTAAAATTCAATGAGGTTTTTAAGTCAGCTGGAGTGTTGTCCCTAGGAAAAGGTGGTCACTGGTTGAGGTCTGCTGTGGTCTGGATCATTTCTGTTGTGCGGAAGTAGGGGTCACGCCTTGTGGATCCAGGAGAGGTGTGTTCAGCTTCCATGCGCCAGCCGCTGTGTGGCCTGGCAGCTGTTGGAAGTGTGCCAGGTATCTGGTGTTCGTGAGAGGAAAACTACCGATTATTTATAATTTCATCACTTCTCATGTCCTGTTTGACCTGACGGAAGTGACACATTTGATCGAGCCGGCTTCTGATTTTGTTGAATGCCTGGGTGATTTCCAAGCACTAGGAACATTCCTGCAGCTAAACGCGTCAGTTAACTAGGCCAAAGAGCTGGTGTGCTTTTAAAAGACTTGAAACGGTGGCAAGTTTTCCTTTAGAAATCTACAGTGACGTGCTGCTGTTCATGTTCTGCCGGTTGAGTAGTGAAGCCACCTCATGACCCTCCTGTTTAACATGGAGACCTGCCATTACCAAGGCCGAAGTGGCCGTGTTTCCGGTTTCTTACCCCAGAGCCGGTGCTGCTGCCCCCCGTGAAGCTCCCGTAGAGATGAGCGAGGGTGGACGCGGCGGCAGTGAGTGGCCGCTGGCCAGAGCGCCGCCCTCCAGGGGATGCAGTGAGGCGGGGCGAGTCTGCGGTCAGGCCGGGGTTAGGCTGGGGCCGGCTGGCTCCGACCTCCCCGGGCCGCGCACCAGGGGTGCTGCGCGGGCGCTTGGAGACGGAAATGACGTACTAAAGGCCGCAGGTGACGGAAATGACGTACTAAAGGCCGCAGGTTAAAAGTTGTTAGTGATGTTCTCGATCCAGGGGATGTAGTTAGTGACTTTGGTGTAGACCCCATACTGGCCTGCCTCCCCGCAGTTCAGGGAGCCCCAGGACACGATCCCCCCCACAAACCACCTGTGTGTCGTGTTGTCCAGGAACACGAGCGCCCCGCCGCTGTCGCCCCTGCAGCTGTCCTTGCCCCCGCGCTCCGCGCCGGCGCACAGCATGTTGGCCGTCACCCGGGCCGTGGGGTCGCGCCGCCTCGCATGGGCCGCGGCGCACGTCTGCTGCTCCACGACGGGTATGTCGACAAACTGGAGGTTCAGGGCGGGGAAGCCCCGCTCCGTCACGCCCCACCCCGAGACGGTGCCCACGTCGTCCGGCCTCATGAAGGCCTCGGCGGCCGCGCCCGGCAGGCACACGGGCAGGACGTTGCTGCTGACGGCCACTGGGCGCTTCAGTTTGATCAGGGCAACGTCGTGATCGAAGCCGGCGCCGTGCGCGTAGCCCTCGTGTATGAACACGGCCTCGGCCTGGGCCCGGGTGTAGTGGGGCGACCTTCTCTTCAGGGTGCCCATCCTGATGTCCAGGGCGGAGGCGTCCTCCCTGCGCCCGTAGACGGCGTGCGCGGCCGTCAGGACCCAGCTGTCGCGCAGGAGCGCGCCCGCCGCGGTGCCCTCGCCCAGGAGCAGGACTTGCCAAGGGAAGTCGCCGGCCTTCGCCAACTGCCCTCCGAAGACGCGGCCGCGGGTGGCGCGGGCTGATCGGCCACACACTGGGGGGAAGCAGACAGCGCCGTTGCAGAAACTGGGGGGTGGGGGCGCCACCCCATAGCTGCACTGGTCGGGCGGGTGTGGTAGCAGCCAACACGTGCACCCCGCGGGCGAACCAGCGCTCCCCACCAGCGATCGCCACCAGCGATCGCGCTCCGCCCCTCGGAGAGCAGTGCGGGGAACGGGCTTCTCGGAGCCGCGGCTCTCCGGAGCCCCGCGGCCTACACGGCGGGGATAACCCGACTCCGGAGGCCGCGAGCTGTCCGACACGGGGCCGGCCGCCGGCAGGGCTCAGGCCGGCCCCTGGCGTCTGGCTGCCCCCCTGTGGAGTGGGGTGCAGTCCTGTGCGCAGAACTTCAGGCCACGGTTTCGCGGCTAGGGTGTTGCACTTGGCAGCCAGGAACCTTCGAGTTCAGAATGCCGTTTTGGGCTGCTTGATTCTTCTCAACACTTGAGTTTTACTGAATATTGCTAACTAAAATTATTTATGTAGCAGATGTTTCTTGTGACAGAATGTGTATATTAAATTTTACAAATGTTGTGTCAGCTAAAATACAGGTTAAAATTAAGCCAAACAACACAAGGGTAATGAATATATTATTACCTTTCTGCTTTTTTTTTTTTTTAAATAGCTCTACGCAACTCTATCTTTAGAGCGAGCCAATTCTGGTTAAAAAAATTTTAAGTACTATTAGAAGGCAAATTGCATTAATGTTTAAAAACCAGATGTCATTGAAAACAATTGCTTAGGGAAATAATGAAGTTATTAGCTTTGGGTTTTAATAGCATTTTTACGGAGAAGAGGGGTAACTCAATAGAAGAGCTCATGTTTATAAATGCACAAGTGGTTCAAGATAATTTAAAAAATCATTTAGTTTTTTATGTTCGCCTAGTTGTAAGGTCAAAAATAATCAAATGACTGATGCAGTCAGCACCTACCAGCTCTCCACGTGGAAAGGGGGTAATGAGAACGACCAGATTTGGAGCTAATAACTCGGTCTAGCAGAGTGCCCAAGCTCCCTTCTGCCTGGGCAGCGAAAGCTCCTTTCTGCCTCCTGCCCACTCTCCCTTTCCATCAATTACAGGCCTGTGTAAATGTGTCCATTACCCGGCTCACAGGTGGGGAGCGAGGTTTCTCCTTTGGAGCTCGTCCAGAATCCATCAGCCTCACACACGTATTTACCTGCAAATCATCGGAAAAGCAAAAGTGTTTAACTGTATGTGTGAGGTGGTGTCATTTGCCGAGCACTCCCTTGGAAAATGTTGATTCTTGCGCTTCCTTGGGAAATGGGGGTCTGAAGTAACCATTTTACATGATTTCATAAACAGGAGGCCTCTGCATTACCATGTTTGCTTGCAAAGTAGAAACCTTTTAGATGTGTAACTTGAATATGTATCAAGATCTCAAGTGCTTAATGATAAGGTTTTGACTTGTTAAATTAAACCATTTGGAATATATTGTGTGTTTGTAGTAGTCATTTACTAGATAAGATCTGTTTTCAGATTCTTGCAAATTGACACTAAAGTCTCTTCAGCTGTAATATTTCACTTAGCAGGTGGGAGAAATGCCTTTTAATCTCCTGTCCAGCCGCAGCCAGAAACGTTGGTTAGAGATGATCTCCAGATCCCGAGCTGGGGTCCCGCAGCGGCCCCCCGGCATTTTGCTCACTCACCGTTGCCTGCCGCCATGGTGTAGAAGGTCTCGTTGCAGCGATACTGAATCTCGGCCTTGTGCGTGGTCACCTCAGGGCCAGTGATGTAGTCCACGCGGCCGTTGGGCAGGTCATCGGGAGGCCCGCAGTCGACAACTGGTGGACAAGGGAGGTGGGGTCAGCTTGTGCTCGGGGAGCCTGGGGGGGGGCGGGGGGAGCTGTCTCCTGAAGCGGGGGTGCGAGCAGGTGAGGCACTAAGGATGACTGATGCGAAGGCACCTTCTGCCCCTGCTCCCAAGTAAAGGACTAGATCGAGGTGAGGTTTCTGGGGGAGACCCGTGTGTCTGGGCCGAAGGGGGACTTCCTGGCAGCCTCGCTTGGGATATGAAGGCCTCTGCTCGCCTCACACCCTGAGTGGCGCGGTTGGCCTCGGCTGGAGCCGCACAGGCAGGGACCAGTCATCCCTTTCATAGACCTTGTGCCAACATACCCTGCACTTGAGCTAGAATTCACACCTGTCTCAACATGACGAATGAGAAGCAAGCAGTGAGTGAGACCGAGTTCTTACCGTCTTCAAGCCACAGCCCTTCGCTGGGGACATCAGACTCTCTGTGATCACTACTGTGGGCTGGCGGATGCGGCCCGCACCAGTGCCCTGCTGTGCTGACCCTCAGGGCAGCTTGATCTCGGCCTGCCATCAGAGGTGCCCCGCGACAAGGGCTGAAGGGGTTGAGAACCCAGCCCTGACTCCAGCGCACCCGTCTGCTCTCACTGGTGTTTGACCAAAGCCACAGTCTTAGCAGTGGGGACGCAAATTTTTGAAATTAAAATTCCCCTAGGAATTCTGCAGAAACCCTTGCACAAAACACACATCCAGGGTGTTCACTAGACAGACCACTTGGGGTCCCAACAGGTTGTGCGTGGGGCCTGGGTGAGGACACAAGGCAAGCTGAGGACAAGCACCATGAAGCCACAGTGGCACTTTCTGGAGCCATCTGTCATCAGGCAGCATGTGACAGATGGTGAGATGTTAGTATGTGGCATAGGAAATTGACCCCAAGTTACTAGGGCTTAGCTTGGGGGTTTGGCAGGGAGAGGCTTTATATTTTGTAGTTTACAGTTTGCATTCATTTCATATCTGGGAGAATTGTTTAAAATCAGATCCGTGTTTTCTCAGTTCAGAAGTAATTAAGTGCACCCCGGTTTGGTGCACACACAGGCCCCCCTCACTCAGGGTAGAGTGCCATGTTCTCATGAGACACTTGATAGGGGCATCTGCCAAGATGATAACTGACGACACTTGTAAGCTGAGGTTTCGGGGTGCTGGTAGTTTGCTCCCCGTGTCTCCTGGGTATTTATGTACTTAGTATTTTTGAAGATGACTTTTCTAAAGCAAATACTTTTCCTAGTACCTTGGTTCCCTTTTAGCCTCTTGAAAGAGTGGGTTAGAGGCTGGGGAAGAGAGGTAGATTGGGGGTCAAGCCCTAAAAATCAGCGGACAGAGACCCGAGGCATGGGAGGCGCAGCTGCGTGACCTACTGCTGCACTCTGGCATCGGCCGGTCCCAGGAGCCATCTTTCTGACACACGGCCACAAACGATTTCAGGGGCAGCTGGCCCTAGGGAGGAAGCAGACGATGAGTCTCTGAGTCTCGTCTCCATGAAAATGCTCCCCAACACCGCCCCACGGCCGTTCCACCATGCTCCCAAGGCTTGAGGCACCCCAGCCCCGTGCACCCTGCTGGTCCCGCCCTCCACCACCTCTGCTACCTCAGCCTGTGCCTCCAGCCTCTGGGCTTGCTGCCCTGGGCTCCACTTTAATCCCGCCTCACCACTCCCTGCTGGCACCTCCCCGGCCCCCATCCTTCTACGTGGCCCAGGGTACCAGCCAAAGTTTGGGGGGAAGGTTTCCCTGAAGGTGCAAGGGGTTGAACCTCCACACTACAAAGCTCTCTGCAGCCCCTGCAGTGTGGGTTCGATCCCCAGGCATCCGGGAGGGACCCCCAGGGCGCAGCAGACCCCTCCTGTCTCCCTGCTGCTCCCCTCGGCAGTGTGCCTCAGTCCATCTGGCTGCTCTGCTCCCCGCTCTGTCTCTGAGGAGCCTTCTCTCTGCCTGTACCCCAGCTCTTGGGAGGAAAGGGAGGAGGCCAGCCTGAGCAGGCAGGCGGGACCGGACAAAAACCCTGCAGCCACTAGAAACAGCTCCGGGGGCTGTAGACAGAGCTCCTGCCCCTCCCAAGAAGTCTGCAAGGTGAAGAAAGTGTCTCCCTTTTTCTCCTTAGTTTGGCCACTTGCAGGCCAGGACCACATAGCTTCTCATTTCAATGTTATTACTTTTTTGCCACTGGGATTTGGTGACAATTTTGAAGAACATAAAAAAGGCGTGTTGATCTTACCTGTGCTTCTAAAGCAACTCACTAAGCATCTTTTGAAATTACCCCTCCACTCCCTGAGCAGCGGTCACTATTTAAAAACTTTGCGCAACATACTATTTCCAGGGCCTTGTAATTCTTTGCCAGCCCAGGGGTTGTTTCAGGTCCAGGGTTTGACGGGGCTAGTGTAATGGTCGGTGCCATCGCTGCGGGCAGCAGGGACACGAGGTGGCCTGGAGGGCTGCGGCAACGTGTGGACACGGAAAAAGCGCTTAGTGCCACCACCAGCCTTCAGAAACAGCCCCGCGGGCGCGGGGAGCAGCTTTCCTAAGAATAAATTGTCCATCGTCCTTCTCAGCAAACTCAGCTCTTTGATTTTTACTGTTTAATCGTGAGGTGAAGATACCACCTTGCTGACAATAGCTACTTTCCCACTTGCCTTTCACATTTGCGGATTTAAATCTGCAGCCACCTCAGAGCCACGCGCTGGCCCAGCTCAGGGCCTCACCTGCAGCAGCTCATAGCCCCTGTCGCAGGTCACGGCCACGCGGTCCTTCAGGACGTAGGCGGCTTGCAGCGGCGAGATGTGGCCGTTAGGTGGCGCCACTGGATCAGGGCAAGGCTGAGCTGCGGGAGGGCCCAGCTTAGCGGTGCTCAGGCCGCGGCAACCCGCGGCTTTCATCACCGACCGGAGGTGCAAGGGACGCGTGCAAGGGACGCGCCCCAGTGCAGGGTCCTCACGACTGAAAGCCAAGCGCGGCCGGACTCGGTGGCTCAGGGCTCGCATCGGGCTCTGCTTGTTGCCCGTTGCCCGGGCTTGGGCCACAGCACGTCAGGACAGGCAGGCGGGAGGGGGACAGCCCCCCCGCGGGGCCCCTCCCCGCCGGAGCCTCCCAAGGCCGCTGAGCCCCCGAGGTGGAGGAAGCCAGCCCCTGGGTTCGGGGTCGCGATGGGGTGAGGGAGCCCGGGCAGGGCCAGGCCCGGGGCCACCCGCGCGGGGTCCAGCCTTCAGGGAGGCCGCCACCCATTCTGCCCCTGCCTGGGCGCTGTCACCCGCAGGCCTCCCCCTCCGCACGTGTGGTCATCCCCTGAGTCCCTTTTTCTGGCCAACAGCTGGCCTCTGTGGCTGGGGGGTCTCTCCAGCCCGCGCAGGCCAAGGCACAGCCCAGGGACCCGGAGCCCAGCACCAGCGGCGTCTCCTCAGTGACCCCTCTCAGACTCGGCTGAGCCCCCAGAAACCTCCTGCTCCCAGTGCCCAGCTCTGGCTGGCGAAGCGCCGCCCTCCTGCCAGTGACTCTCATCAAGGGGTCCTGCCTTGCCGCCCCCCTTCCTGCCAGTTTATTAGGGACCACCCAGGCCCCTAAGGGGGTCAAACAGAACCGGTCCCTCTCGGGGGAAAACATCTCACTGTGCAGTGACCGGTCCAGCTGCCACCACTGGAGGGCTGAGGTGGCCGCCGGGGGGGTACGGTTGGGGGCTCCCACCTGTGCTGCTATAGCGGATCTTCCAGCCCGTGTGGCCCCCCGAGTCATCGGTGACAAAGGTGACGTTCACGGTGTGGCTCTTGGTCTCGATCCTGCCCGGCAGCTCATCCCCACAAAATGGGCCCAATTCCTCTTTGTCTGTTCGGATCTGAGAACAAAGCGGCCCTGTCACCCCAGATCCCACGGGTGCCGGCCCTGTCACCCCAGATCCAGCGGGTGCCGGGAGACTTGGGGCCTGGAGAACGGACCTTGAGGGAGTCGTAGGGGCACTGGGTGTCGGGGTGTGCCTCCACGTTAAAGGACTCCACGAAGTCTAGGGTGATGCTGAACCCCTCCTCCAGGAGGATGCTGTAGGTGCAGCGGGAGAGTTTGGGGTACGGCTGTGGGTATTCGGGACTGCTGAGCACCCCAGACCTGCCACTGAAGACCTGGCCAGAGCACAGGGCTGGGAAGAGGGAGGGCAGGGAGTGAACCCACAGGCACCCCTGGAGACCAGACACCCCAGCCCCTGGCTGAAGGACAGTGTAGGGAGGGGCTCTGGCTTCCGGGCTGTACCTGAAACATGCAGCACCGGGGGCCCCCACTCACAGCCCCAGAGAGACTGGGGCCCTAAGCTGAGGCTCCTGGCTGGGGAGTCCTGGGCCAGGGTCACGAGGCCAGAGCTGGGAGCAACACAAAGTGTCAGACTCTGCTGCAGGACCCTAAAAACGGGTACTCTTTGCACCCCGGAATTCAGGGAGGAAGGAGGGATCTCCTTGAGCTAAGGGCCTCTCACTGCCCAAATCACGTCACAGGCATGGGCTTCCCAGGAGGGGGCCCTGAGTGGAGGGACAGGCAGGGTCCTGGCTGTTCACTCTTTGGGTTGCATCACCGAGGGGGCCTGTGGAGGTTGGGGGGCCACCCGCAGAGTGCGTGTTGGCACTGGAGGTGTCTGGGAGGTGAGGGTTCCTGCCTTGCCTTCGCCTTCCTTCAGGGTCAGCTCCCAGGAGAGGGAAGAGGACCACCCTGGACATGGGGGCCAGAAAGGGGCCGGCTGCGCCCTCTGAGTCAGCTCCCCCCGCAGGAGGCAGGGGCACCCTCAGGATGAGGGGGCCAAGGATGCTCCCCTCAGCCCCTGGGACCCAGGGGGGGCCTCAAGGGGGTCAGCGCCCTTCAGCAGAGGAGCCTTCGGCAGGCCAGGGCTTGTGGGGGGGGAGGGGAGAGGCGGGGCCTGTCCCTCCCCCACCCCGCCCCTCCCCTCCAGAGAAGTGGCAGCAGGTGGGGGCGGAGCCAGTTTATTGTTAGGTCCAGGTGGGAGAATGGGGGCTGCCGCTCTCTGGCTTCCACCTGCGGGGCAGACTCCCAGGGGGGTCAGAGGCTCTCCTCTGAAAGAGAAAAGAGACAGGAAAAACAGAGGGGGTGGGGAAGACACCACGCAGGGTGTGGGGTGAGGAGGCAGGGCCCGCAAGGGCTGGCTGGGCTGCCCACTTCTCCCCAGGCACCACCAGGTTTCCTGTCCAGGTACCTGGCAGGATGGCAGACTGGGGTGGGGCGGGAGGTGGGCAGGGAAAGGAGGCCAAAGGGTGGCCTTGCTGGGCACAGGTGGCTGAGGGTGCCCTGTCTCCACACTGAGTTTTCCAGAGGAAAGTTTTGGGGAGGCAGGGCTAGTGTCCCCACACCCCTGACAGCCCTGGGGAGGCAGAGGGCTGTGAGGGGCCAGAGCTGCCCAGCCAGGGCCACGGGGTGGGGGAGGGGAGGGGAGCTCGCAAGTGGGAGCGGCAAGGGAGGAGGGTGGGCAGGGCCCGCAGGGGCTGTAGTGGGAGTCCAGCGAAGGGACCGGCCAGCACTGGCCCAGCCAGCCTGGGGACGGGTTGCGGCCCCTCAGAGCCGGGCAGAGTGGCTGGGCAATTCCTGGGGCAGGGTGGGGGCTGGGCGCCCTTACCTGAGCAGGTGCGCTTGTTCTGGTGGAGAATGTAGCCCACCCGGCAGGAGCAGTAGAAACCTCCCAGGTGGTTGTGGCAGTGGTGGTCGCAGGTGGGGGGGTCCCCCGGGGGCTGCAGGCACTCGTCAATGTCTGGGGCGGGACAGGCCATCAGCAGGGCAATACTGCGGGCTGACCTGGGGGCAGGGCAGCTTCCCTGCCATGCCACCCTTGAAACGCCAACTTCAGGTTAAGTGTCCTGCCAGGTCACCCAGCCCTAGGGCTCAGCCAGCCGCTGAACCCCAGGGAGGCCCCTGAGGCCTGGTTGTTGCCTCCAGGGGCCACAGAGAGGCTGAGCCACTTGCCCAAGGTCACAGGCCCACACAGGACCATGGCCTGAGACCAACCTGGGCCTGGAAGCCTAGGGCCGCCCCTCCCCAGCTGCGCCCCCTCTCTGGGCCTGCCTGGGGCTGTTAGGGCCTCGCCTTGGGCGGTAGCCAGTCTCGCCCCCTCCCGCTGGCTTGGCAGGAATTTGGCCAGGGAGGTGGGGAGGCCCCAGGGGCTGCTGGGACATTCCCCGCAGCTGTGGCTAATCTCAGCCCCACCTAATCTCAGCCCCACCGGGCCGGCTCACCCTCCCCCACCGGGCCGGCTCACCCTCGGCGGCATAGAAGGCCTCGAAGCCGGAGAAGGGCTTCTCGTTGGAGTAGTCGGAGCGGAAGGTGACGTCCAGGCTGGGGCCCGGAGAGTAGAAGGTGTCGTTGCCCGGGGCCCGCTCCGTGTCTGTGCTCTCCTGCCCGCACAGCGTGGCCAGCACCCTGGGCCCGGCGCTCAGCTGTGGGGTCGGGGGTCACTGGAGGGCGGCAGGCCCCAGCCTGCCCTCCCACCCGGCTGTGGCCCGCTCTGCTCCGGGGCTGCTGTCCCTCAGCCCTGGCAGGTCCTTGGGGAACGACCCCCCGCCAGCCCGAGGGCGTCCGGCTGCCCCCTGACCCCGGCACCTTGACAAAGTCGTACTCGCAGCGGTAGGAGGGCTCCAGGTGGAAATGGGTGAAGTAGACGCGCAGGCGGTAGCCGGGGGGTGCCCTCAGTGTCCAGCGCTGCTCCTGGTTGTTGGGGTACTCCCCTGGAAATCTCGGGGACGCCAGGCGCCCAAACACTGGCTCAGGCCACCTAGAGTCTTGGAGAGCAGCTGAGAATCCCCCCAGCAGCAGGAGGATCCGCAGCCCGAGGGCAGGGCCCGGGCAGGTGAGGCCTGGGGGCCTGTTCTTACCCCTCATCGCTGCTGGGGAGGTGCTGGGGGCTCCCACACACCTCATGGCAGGCCTGGCCTGGTCTGGAGCCCCAACTGCCTCACCTTTGATCTGTTTGTCCAGGGCCTGGCCCTGCCCCCAGCCTCCCACCCCAGGGTTCCAGGCAGGAGGAGGACTGGCCTTTCCAGGAAGCCAGAGCCTGAGC